ATAAACCATTCTTCACTCACTGTCTCCTTAGGATTGGGCCAAAAGAAGACTTTTTCCATTGTTCAAAATGTAATTTATGTCTAGCCTTGAATCTCCAAGGAAATCATAAGGTATGAATATAACAAAATATAGCTTGACTTAAAGCTTTGCTTTTATGACAGTGAGAGCTGATGGGGATTAGCTCAGCCTGTGTGTCATGAAAACAAGTGCTACACAAACTGTCCTGCTTCCAGTTCATCTGTTCTGAATATTAGCACAAGTTATTTCTGGATTTCTGCATTAATGTCACAGTTTAAGTCATGATGGATTATTTAATATGATTGAATACTCAAAGCTGTGAACAACTCGCCTTGAAATGTTCTTGGTGTAGAACAGTGAGAGTTTTAGGAGTCTTGTACACCAGCAGTTCTCAAAGTTTTTATGCCATGGTTCACCTCTGGCTGCATGCCCTGCCTACCTCTGGTGGTTTTGACTTCCAGTCCTTCCCCACCAACAGTCTGAGGGTCCTGCTGGTTCACACACCCCATAGCTCCAGCACAGGGAACAGCAAGGTTGTATTAGTGCTGCTTAACAGAGCTAAGTAGCCTGCCCACATTCTAAGGTGGCTTGGCTGTGCTGGAGCTAGCATACACAGAGTAACCTAAAGCTGGAAATGTTCTGGGAGGCAGTATAGCTGGGCTGATCCACCTGCAGCAGTTTTGTTGCCTGCTGCTCAAGATTCCTGCCATAACCATCTTTACACATTTAGTTAAAAAATTAAGTAGTACAGGCCACACTTTAATTGGCAGAATTTTAAATAGTATGTGGCAGCAAGATTTTCACACACCTGTTAGCATATTCTGGTGAAGTTCTAGATCCATGTATTAGTAGTATTATGCAAGTATCTACATTTCTCTCTTCTGTTTCTTTACAAGTGCATTGAAAATGTCTCCAGGCAGGACTGTCCAATATGTTTGGAGGTAAGTGTTGTGCATTTAAAAATGTCTCATCTGCTAGAACTTTGCTAGAAAATAAATTGCATATTTTAATTGTGCATATTTTACTTTTAAAGTTCTTCTCCATTGACTTTGACTTTCTGTACATTGTTAGTACATGTAGGGAAAATTTAAATGCTGATGGTTATGTCTTTAAATAGGACATTCACACATCACGTGTTGGAGCCCATGTTCTGCCATGTGGACATCTCCTCCATCGGTAAGTTCACTCGTAGAATCAAAACCATTATAGAGATAGAAATATCTACCAGATCATCCAGTCCATTCCCTGGCACTAATGTAAGTCTGTCCTCTGCTATTCCCCAGTGACTGAGTTCTAAATGTTTCAAGTGATGAGGTTTTTAGCCCTTCTCTCAGGAGACACCTTCTTGTCAGTTTTTTCATGCTCATCTTAATTTTTCTCTTGTATAATTTCTTACATCCTCATGTATTGCCTTAAATAAACCTGAACAATAAGGAGGGATTTATATCACCTTGATGCTACAATGAGGTCAGTGAGGTAAGGTATTAAAAAGAAGAATCAAGGATGTGTCCTCTAGCAAACCAATGATAGCAGGTGCTGGGGAGTGTATGACAGGCTAGATCACTACCTACACTACACCCTGTTCATCTATTCTTCTTCCAAAGCATCCACTACTACCACTATCTAAAATAGGATACTGGCTTAAATGAACAATGTGTGGGGTGGCTGGCTGTGTGGGGTTTGGGAATTTAGCACCGGGGCAGGGGGGGCGGGGGCATGGCAGTATTAATTGCCACTGTTCCTCTACTGCCAAATTTCTGGACCTGTGGGGAGCCTTGCAAGCTGGATGCCATGGGTCTGTGAGACAGATTTGGTCCACAGGCTGGAGGTTGAGCAGCCCTGTCTTGGAGGCATAGGAGTCCCTTCAAGGAGTTTATTGCATGGTGGGAGCCTTGGTTGTCACTTAACCAGCATATATGTTTTTAAGTCTAAATTTTTTGCGTTTTGTTGTTGTTGAAAATTATCATAGAAGTAGGGTCGGAAGGGACCTTGTAGATCAGGTCTGACCCCCTGCCTGGGCAGGAAGAAAACTGGGCTCAAATGACCCCAGCCAGGTAGGCATCGAGCCGCTTCTTAAAGACCCCCCAGGGTAGGAGCCAGCACCACTTCCCTTGGAAGTTGGTTCCAGATCCTAGCATCCCTAACTGTGAAGTAGTTCCTACGGATGTCTAATCTAAACCTACTCTCCAACAACTTGTGGCAGTTATTCCTTGTTATCCCGGGGGGCGCTAGGGGAAACAAGGTCTCCCCCAAACCCTTCTGCTCCCCTCTAGTGAGTTTATAGATGGTCACCAGGTCCCCCCTCAGCCTTCTCTTGTGAAGGCTGAACAGGTTCAGGTCCCGTAGCCTCTCATTGTAGGGTCTGCCCTGCTCTCCCCGGATCATGCGGGTGGCCCTCCTCTGGACCCTCTCAATGTTGTCCACATCCCTCTTGAAGTGGGATGCCCAGAACTGGACACAGTACTCCAGCTGCGGCCTGACCAGTGTCACGTAGAGGGGGAGGATCACCTCCTTGGACCTACTTGAGATGCACCTGTGGATACACAATAAGGTCCTGTTAGCCCTGCTGACTGTGACCTCGCATTGTTGGCCCATGTTCATCTTGGAGTCAGCGATGACTCCAAGATCCCTTTCTGCCTCCGTGCTCTCAAGAATGGAGTTTCCCATCTTATAAGTGTGCTGCCGGTTACTACTGCCCAAGTGCAGCACCGTGCACTTGTCAGTATTGAAACGCATCCTTTTTTGTTAGCCCACCCCTGCAACCTATCCAGGTCTTTCTGCAGTCTTTCCCTCCCTGCTAACGTGCCCACCTCACCCCAGTTATGGAGACATTTTGTTGCTTATTAGATCTGTGAATACTTTTATGGTAATATGGAGTACTAACTAAATGCAGTGCTCCAGGTATGTATGTAGTAACAACAGAGTGCTATATCACTTCTCCGTACCCCTCTATATATGCAGTCCAAAATGTCATTCTCTTTTGACCTGCTATGTCACTGGAGAGACCTTTTAAATTTTTAGCATCTGTTGGCCTCTTTCAGTGTTGCTCGTTCCCAATGTGTTGCCTCTATTTTTGACATTAGTTTCCTCCACATGTAGGATCGTGAAGCTTTCTGAACTCAGTTTTGCTTTGTGTTATGCTGGCTTTAAGTCCCACTGTAGTATTTCTGTCTTTCTTTGTTTACGGTAACATGTTAACTCCCTAATGATGGTTTTAAAGCAGATGTCCAGTTTCCTAGCAGCCCCCTAAACACTAAGCATTTTTCCAGGATGCCTCCCCATCTCTTTTTCAGTGCCGGTTACTGCTTTAACTCTAGGTGTTTGTATAGATGTCCACCTTCCTGAGTTAAGTCCAACTTTTTCCTTATCCACAGAATTTACAGGGCTTCACTTTCCTTACGTAAATACTGAAGTCCTCTTGTGTTTCCTTTTCAGAACTTGTTATGAAGACATGCTAAAGGAGTGAGTATTCCGAACCTGCTACTTTTCAAGTATTGTAGCAGTGCAGATTCCTTAGTTTGAGAGATCTGGCAACTGTTGATCCTTCCGGGTCATGGTGTCTGCATGAAAGGTCACCCAGACTTTCGACGCATATGCCTAGGATTGGATGGAGGCTGCCTAGACCATCCATTCCCACTTCAGGCCAGAATCCAAAACCAGGCAGAGTCCAGATGTTTGGTGTCTCCATCTCTGTAGTTGTATAAGCATCTGGGAATTGAACCTGGGTCTTGTGTGTGGCAGACAGGGGTTTTACCACTGAACCACAGGGGACTCCAGTTCGAAAAGCAGTGAGTGGGATGACAATCCAGTGCTCCTATTGCTTGTGCAGTGTTTGTATACAGCTCATTTCTTGTTGACTAATACAGCAGGATTTTTTTTCTTTTTCAACCTGACTCTGGCAACAGCTTGCCTACACCACTGTCTTCCTTACTACGGCTTTTTTTTCTTCTTGCCAGAGGTTACAGATGTCCTTTGTGCATGCACTCTGCCTTGGATATGACTAGGTATTGGCGACAGTTGGATGATGAGGTAGCACAGACTCCTATGCCTACAGAATATCAGAACATGATGGTGGAGGTGAGTAGTCTTTTGTGTAAGTTTGTACACTCCCTTCTAGTCTCTCCCCATTCTTGGCCACTCTGACATCTTGTTCGTGATCCTTTTATGTCGGAGTGAGCATGCTTCTTTCTGCAAAACATTCAAACATTTATATTCGTAACTGTGGCAAATTGAGAATGTTGCTTTTCTCTGAGGGTAACTTGGTTCTATGCTGCCTCTCTGGGCCTGGGTTCTGCATGTTAGGAAAACTGAAATTACATGACTGATCAGATCTTAGTGTTCCATTTAGTGTCTACAAAACTAGCAAAGACAGTCCATTCTGCCTAGTATTCTTTGGAGTTAGGACAGTTGGGTTTTTTTGTTTGTTTTTTTTTAAAGTAGGTTTTAAAAGAGACAGATTCATGACCCACGTCACCGTTGTTAACTGTTTCATTCCTGTTCTGTCTGCTACAATGGGAAGTAGATTTTGTAGGAAGGCATGGGAGAGACTAAGAGACAGCATAGACCAAAAACTATATTTGACTTTTACTCCAGTAATGGGTCCCACTGACTTACTTCAGCTAAACATTACTTGAGTGCCTAAGGTGCTACCTGATGGTTCTAAATCAGGAGCGGGCAATTATTTTGGGCAGATGGTCATTTACCCAGTTTTGGCAGGCTATCGAGGGCCACGTGGGTAGCCCTGCCCCTTGACAGGTGCCCCACACCTTGACCAGCCCTGCCTGGTCACCATCTCGGGACCAGTGTCCCAATGTCTCGGAACCAAAGTCCCAGGGCCAGCACCGGTGGGGCACAGGCCAGCAGGGGTCTGTGGAGCCAGGCTGGGCTGCACCAGCAGGGAGAGAGGGGAGCTGGCCCGGCTCCATAGAGCTCCTGCCAGCTGGGACCCCGCACTCCTGCCACCCTGCTCTGGGCCCCACCAGCACTGGCCCTGGGACACTGGTGCGGACCCTGTGCTTCCACTGGCTCCCCGCCCGCTCACACCCAGTGCCCCCCCAGCCCTGCAGTACAGGCGGGGGTTAGCGCACAGCCCTGACCCCCTGCTTGCCAGCAGGGAAGAAGCTGGTCCTGAGCGTAGGGAAAAGTGGCCCCTTACCCTCCCCATTGCCAGTGCTCCCTGCTGCAGGTGCTCGCAGCCCACGCAGGGCTGTCTGGAGCAGGCACAGGCAGCCTCATGTGGGCTGCAGGGGGCTGCAGCGTGGGGTGCGGGCCATGAGGCGGGCAAGGGGCCACTTTTCCCCATGCTCAGCACCAGCTTGTAACCCAGCCCCATGGGAACCCCTGGGTCCTACTGCCCTTGGTTCCTGTCATTTTTGACAGGAGCCAAGGGCAGAGAAATATTAATTTTCTACATTTTTTTTTTTTTAGGGGCCCCACGGGCCAGATAGAATGGCCACGTGGGCCAAATCCGGCCTGTGGGCTGTATTTTCCCCACCCCTGTTCTAAATCAAAGGGTTAAGTCATTGTGCTGCTATTCCTTATCTTGAGTCTTGGCAGTGATGCAGACATAGGTGACTGATAGGGAGTGCACATGGGTGCACTTGCCCCCCCTGACGGGGCCAGTGCCCCCCCTGACGGCCGACACTGATGCTGTCGGTAGGTCTAGTGCCCCCTGCAAGAGGGTCGGTGGCTTCTGCGGGTACCCCCCAAGATTTAGGAGGCACGAGTCACTCATGGATGCAGAGGTATGGCTGAGTTGTTTCCTTCATCTGAAAAGAAATCTATCCTCCTAGTCTTCTGTGCTCTGTCTTGGTGGTGAGCAAATTTCAGAGTCTTATTTTGTAGCACATGCATGGTATGTGTATCATAGCTGCAGCACTTTATGAAGCCTCCTGTCTGTGTTAAGGCTGATCTCTTCTTTAATACAGATCCTTTGCAATGACTGCAGTGCCCGATCCATGGTCCAGTTCCATATTTTAGGCATGAAGTGTACAAGCTGTGAATCGTACAATACTGCTCAAGATGGAGGTTGCAGGATGGCTTTGGAGCAGCAGTGACTAAAGGAGGCTTCACGTACTTCTAGACAAGGAAAGATCAACTCTGTGTGATGCTGGTTAGAAAGGACACTCCCCTTGGAAAAAGGTGTACCACAAACTTCTCAATTAATCAGGAAATTTCTTAGTGTCATGTCACAAAATCCTAATTCCTGGCCCTGTATTCTGATTCCCTAGGATATCATAACTCGTAGAGTGTTGTGTGATTTCCCTGCCCCCCCACCGCTCTGCAGTGGCTGTTGAGGTGGAGATTCACAGTGTTAGAAAGAGCATGGTATCTAATCCATCTGGCTGCTGTAGTGCTGCTCCCTGGAGAATGTTTTGGCTCGTGGAATTTCCCATTGTGGTGCTGTGAATTTCATGGTGTTCAGTCTACCAGAAAGTCAGTCTTTTAAAGGACAGCAGAGCTATCTTTTTTTTATCATGCTGTGAAGAAGACGCATGTTTTTAATAAGATAAAAATGACAACTGTGGGAGTGAGTGAATTCCAGGGCTGCCGAAGAGCTGATTCATGGAGGCAGTGGCACCCAGGAAACAAGAGCAGCAAGAATGAGCATTTCATTCTAAATGAAAATGGGTTGGGAAATTTGGTAGCTTTGAGAGCTGTGTTTTACAAGTGAAGCTTTAGGTCTTTAAGGGTTTCGGTAAGTAGGTTGTTTGTTTTGTTTTTGTTTGTTTTTTTTTAAATATGCCTGTTTGTTGGCAGTTGGAGTCCAGAGCTTCAAGTGAAGATGGACAGAAGAAGTGTGTGGGTAGAATTGTTTTTCTTCCTCTACAACTCCCAGATACAGTCTGTGTATACAAGGTGCATCTAAAACAAAGCTACTGTAGATCTTAATAAGTATGTGTAAGAAGGACTTAGAGCTGCCACTTGTCCCCACTGATTTCCAGGGTGAGCTGTTTTCTCCACATCTGCTTCTGTTTGCCTGCTGTAATTACACTATCCATTGGTTGCTTTGCCCACCCAATATGTTTTAATTTACAGAGCTTCTGATGCTCTACAGGCTCATGTACATGCATAACTTTAACATATCGGTGAGATTGTTAACTGGAAAGGACCAATACACAATATTTGCATATATTTGTCTTTGCAGAATTAAGATCAAACTGCTAACTCTGCTTAGTCTGAGATTTTTGCCAAAATTGCTGCCGTTAATAAAGGGACATTCTCAGGTAGTTTAGGCCCAGTGTTTGCTTTGTTTTACAATATCTGGTTTCTTGTAGCTTTTTTTTTTTTTTTTTTTTTTTTTTTTTTTTTTTTTTTTAAGGGTGTTTCTCTCTTCCTACCCTGTCCACTCCCCAAGTTTTGGACACCTAAGAGTTGCACAGGGGCTCTAGTTTGTCGGAGTCACAGTATGAAAATAACTTGTGTGTGAAAAAACATTAATTTTTTTCTCTGTTCAAGCAGAGCGAAATGTAGAAGTCAGCAAATACTGCCCATCATTGTAGAACTACATTTTAAATTGCTGTAGCTATCTAGCTTATCACTAGAGATTTATTTTGAATCTGACAGTGTCCCTTTATGCTTGAAATGCTAAGATTCTAATGGCTGTGGTAGTGTAAGTATATCCTCTCACAGAAACCTACCCATGTCTGTGTAAGCACTTTTCCCCCCTAAAGCACTTTTCTGAATGCCACAAATTAATGTAAAGTGTTATCTCTATTAAAACAGATTATGCTAAACTTAATGTCTTTAGTAGCTGTTTTTGAGAAGTGTCAGCTGAATTCAATTCAGGATACAGTAAGACAGTTAATTTCAGTGGTTCTGACGAATGTTCTGCTTCTAGATGCTGGTGTTAGAATTCAACTACACCCGAAATACTACCATATTTCCTTGTATACACACACCATTGATGGAAATCAGGATGCATGTTTTAAGCAAGGAAAAATGGTAAAAGCATCTTCTGCAACATAAGCCTCTGTGGGGAGCAGAAAGTAATGCTGCATGTGCTGCACAGAGGGCAGGCCATTGAGTGCACAGCTCCCTATCTGTTGGGCTTGGAAACTTTCTTTCCCATAGCAGAGGCTTGCAATGCAGTAGCTGCTACTGACTTTTATCAGGAGCCTTTGCCCAGGCACCTGGGGTTTGGCATCACTATTTCTAAAATGGAACTGAGCCTCAGGTGCCAGGGCAGAGGCTCCTGCTG